GGCTTGATTGATGCTCTCAAAAGTCTGGACCAGGTATCCAAATCCTTCTAACTGAGTTTGTCATTTCTTGGTGTTGTCCAGCGGCTTCCATCCAATTTTCGGCCATTTCAGTTCGATAAGTGTTCGGGCGCCAATATAACGTTGCGCGCCTCCAACTTGCACGCAACCAAGAGGTGACTGTGAAAACTGGATAAAACCACAGAGTCTTGTGAAGGGTTTTAAGTCCCTTTTTATTCAACGTAATAAATTACAATTTGCGTGCTCTTGACGCTCACAAGACTGTGCCAAACTGGCGGTCAAATAAAAATAATAACCTGAAAAGAAAATAAAGACAAGATTCTAACTACGAGGCTCTCTAAAATAACTAAAACTCACCGCGTTTTACAATACCGCTGCTAATTCAGCAGACTTGAAGCTCACTGGAACGATTACCACTACTTCCCGCAAGCACATAGGCCGAAACGCGGGGTTCTTCAATTCTCGCTAACTACCTCCGCGCTCGCTGAAGTAAGAATAGCACACACCGAACTCGTTTCCTTCTATTTAAATCAGAATACTTCCGCTGATAATTTGAATCCTTGCGCGTTCTACTAAAATTTACATATTCTGGCATTGGCAGTTCCAGGGGAAAGTAAGGCTTGACAGGAAAGATAGTTTAAACTTTAAAATAAATGTTAGTTAAAATAAATATAAACCCTACAATCTCTTGCTGATTTTCAGAAAAGAATTTTGCTTTGTTTTAAGGATGTAAGTTTGCAGAATATTAGTAAGTTTAAAATTTCAAGATATTTGTTACGTCTAGATGAAATTGTTGATTTTGGTAAGATTAATTACTCTTTATATCGTATTTCAATTTTCATTTCACAATTGTTTTGATTTTTTCATACTTTGTCAAAAATCAAAAGGTGGGAGAAATGTACAACTCGAACGCGAAATGAGCGAAAGTTTTGTTCAGCCAGTGGAACGGGGAGTCGAAAAAGGAACTGGAAGAGAGGTCGCTCACTCGGTTTCTCTCGCTCGAATTTAATACGAAGGGGATATCCTCATCTTTGATTTGAATTAGTCGAATTTTTGTATATATTGTAATATAAAGATTTGAAATAAAAGTCATTAAGACTTAATTGAAGTAGTGATTTGAATCGAATATAGAAATCGAAAGCTCTCCCAAATAGAACTATGGATTTTAGAAATGACAATATGTTTATTTTCTGAAGATGCATTTTGTTGAATGAAAGCATGTTTATTTTTAAGTTGAATAGAAATAGATATTTAGTATTATCAGCTTAAAAAGTATATAAGTTTTATGTTTTTTAATAAAAGTAATTTCAACGTAAAACAAATTTATGTGTAAGAATTCCAATAAAGGATTGAGGAAATAAGATTAAGTTAAAAGGATTACTTTAAAATTTAAGATAAAATATTTGAGTGGAGTTTAAAGTAAAAATGAATGTTGATATGATAAAGAAAAAACGTGCAACGGCACGCAGTGCTTTCACTAGAACGGTTAAGGTTCTAAAGAACGAAATTAGTAAAAATGCTCAAGCAGATAAAGCTGTATTAAAAGATAAAATTGTGAAGTTACAAACGATAACTGCTGAGTTAAAATCTTATGATTCAGAGGTACTAGATTTATTAATTAAGGGCAGTGCCACTGAAGATGATTTAGAAGCCGAAGTTATAAGCTGTGAGGAGTATTCTGATGTCTGTAGTAACTCTAAAGTTAAACGGTATAAATTACCTAAATTCATTATAAAACCTTTTGATTCTCAGTTAATTAATTATTTGCCATTTTGAGCACAGTTTAAGAAGATACATGAAGATAAAGAATTAGATGATTGTGTTAAGTTCCAATATTTGCTACAAGCTGTGGAACCTGGAACTCGTGTGCTAGGCATTTATTAGAAAGTTACCCAATAACTTCAGAAAATTATTCAAAAGCTTTGAGAGCTTTTCAAGATCGTTATGGGGATAAAAAAATTCTTATCGAAGTGTATGTCAGGGAATTTTTGAAATTAATTACAGCAAATATTCAAGCTACGGGTAAAGACAGATTATCATTGTGTGACTTATTCACCAAGGTAGAAGCACATTTAAGGTCTTTAGAATCCATGGGGCTTGATATAGAAAGTAATTCCTATATCTATCTATATAACCTGGCTATACCCCATGATAGAATCCTGCTTACCTGATGATATTTTAAGAGCATGGCAGAGATGCAATATAAGGGGAAAGGAAGATTCTGATAGTGAAGTGAGTTTTCCGAAGTCGAGTTTAACGTTGTTAATGAACTTTTGAAGAGGGAGGTAGCGGGTGAAGAAAGAAAGATTACAGTTAGCCAGGTCAGGCTTTGAAAGTATTATCCCAAAAGAGAAGTAAAAGAGAAAAAATGCTGAAAAGGGATAACAAGTACCCTACTGCAGCTGGTTTATTCGCTGCTAAAGAAATGTCGTGTTTGTTCTGTGGTAAGTCGCATGAAAGTAAGGACTGCGTAGTCGCCCAGATCGTTCTCTCTGGAAGAAAAATAAAGAAAGTCAGGGAAAAGAACTGTTGTCTGAAATGTTTACGCTTTGGCCACCGTGCCAAAATGTGTAAAGTTTTTGTACGCTGTCATGTCTGCTCAAAACCTCATACAGAGCTTTTCTGTCCTGAGATAGGTAAAACGAAAGAAATTAGTGATAAAAGTAAACCCCTAGCGAATATCCAGAACACACTTACAAATCAGCAGTGTTCAAAAGAAGTAGCTCTCATGACACTAGAAATACTAATTAAGGGTAATAAGAAAATTAAGAAGGTTAGGGCACTATTGGACAGTGGGTCCCAAAGGAGTTGTATTTTAAAGAGCACCGCGAAAGAACTTGGTCTTAAGCCTCTCGCTACAGCAACTATTACCCACACGGTATTTGGAGGTGCAGAAATAGAAGCTAAACCTCATAGTAAATATAAAATTAAGTGCACCGGGTAATGGTCACAAATCAGTTATCACAACCGAATTCCTTGACCAAGAAAAGATATGTGGGAACATTCCACGCATTCCAAAGGAGTCTGTTCTAGAAGAGCTTAAGAAACATAGATTATGGATGTCAGATATTGGTACTGGGTGTCCTGAAATAGAAATTTTAATTGGCAGTGATGTTTATGGCCAACTCCTTAACAGGACGAATCAAGCAGCTGAACAACGGTCTAACAGCAATTCAGACAAAACTTGGATGGACAATTTGCTGTGAGTTAGAGAATCCATCCCAAGGTTACGTGAATAGTGGTACAGCTAAAAAAACGTTTGATGACTAATTTATCTCTGAGAGAACTTAGCATTCCAGATTTATGGCGGCTAGAAACAATAGGAATTAATGATCCCGCTGAAACATTTGTCTAAGAAGGAAGAAGAAGAGCTAGCCCATGATTTGTTCCTCAAAGAACTTACGAGAAGTAAAGACGGGCGTTACCGTGTTGGTCTTCCATGGACTTGTATTAACCCAAACATTCCTTCAAATAGAAATGAAGCAGAAAGAAAGAAGGTTGTTTAGCACTACAAGAAGATTGAAGAAGTTAAGTAAATTTGAAGATTAAGACCTAGTCTTTAAAGAATGGAAAAAAGAGAATGTCATTCAGGAAGTCTCAAAAAAGGAACTAGAAGAAGTAGGAGGCCATTACTTGTGTCACCATCCAGTTATTAAGCCAGAGAGTGCTACTACGTCTATCAGACCAGTTTTTGACGCCTCGTACAAAGTTGGAAGAGCACCATCCCTAAATGACTGTCTCTTCAAAGGACCAAACTTGATAGAAGAAATTCCCGCTATATTATTGAGATTCCGAGAAAAGGCTATTGCTGTTGTGTCCGACATTAGCAGAGCCTTCCTCCAAACTGAAGTTAAGGAAGAAGATCGCCGATTTTTGCGATTTTTATGGTGGGAGAAGAAAAATAAAATTAAAGTCTATCAACATAACAGAGTATTATTTGGAGCTACTTGTAGCCCCTTTTTACTCAGCGCGATTATAGGATACCATTTGAACAAGTATCCAAAACAACTCAAAACAGTTACTGACAAACTCTTGAAGTCCTTCTATATTGACAACTGCGTAACCTCCGTAGACAATGCATCCGAATTAGAAGAATTTATCTCAAAGTCAACTGAAATTATGGCTGAAGCTAAGATGGATTTGAGATTATGGCAGTTAGTCCGGGCCGGTAGAAGAGAAATAAGAAAAGTTGTCAACTGAGAACAGAAGTTTGTTTAAAGAAGATCTTACAACTCCAGTTTCGGTTTTGGGGATTAAATGGGATAGAAAGGAGGATTGTTTAATGATCTGCAATAAATTTGAACCTGAAACAGAAAATCCTACTAAACGGAAGAATCTTGTCCTATAACACAAAGTATTTACGATCCCATCGGTTTTTCTCATCCCAGCATTGTTGCCAGCCAAGCTAATGATTCAAGGAGGCCTGGTCAGCTAAGTCAGAATGGGATTTCCCGCTTCCAGAGAAGATCCAAAAGGACTTTCAGAAATGGTATAGTGAATTGAAACAATTATCTAACTTGAAGGTAAACAGACGCATAGGTTACGGAAATAAAGAAAAATGGTCTATACATTTTTTTTTTTTTTTTTTTTTTTTTTTTTGCGACACGAGTCAGAATGCATATGCAACGGTAATTTTCCTGCGCTGTGAAGATAATAATAGGATTTCGGTACAGCTTCTATGAACAAAATCTCGACTTGCGCCAAAAAAGACTTTGACAATCCCGCGTCTAGAACTTCTTGCTTGTGTTTTGAGAGCCAGATTAGCAAACTATATTCGTGAGGCTCTGGATGTCCCTACAATACCGAGTTTATTACTGGATGGACTCTTCAACGGTTATAGCATGGATACGAAGAAAAAACCAATGGGGTACTTTTGTGGGTAACAGAATCAGAGAAATATGCAAACTCACAGAATCATACCAATGGTATCTTGTCCCAGGTAATCTAAATCCGGCGGACCTGCCATCTCGTGGTTGTAGTCCAAGACATCTTATCGAGACGAGATGGTGGGAGGGACCAAAATGGTTAAAAGACGAAGAAAATAATTGGCCCAAATCGGAACAGGTTCCTAATGAAGATTTAGTTATGTCAGAAAGAAAGAAAACTGCTATATCCTTATTTACCTGTGCAAAAGTAGATCAATTCATGAATTATGAGAGAAATTCGAAATTTCGCAGATTTGTAAATATTATTTGTTGGATGAAAAGATTCGTATCTAAATATAGAAATAGAAATTATTTTTTCCCATCTGAGCTCTCGATCGAAGAAAAGAAAGAGGCATAGAAGTTCCTTTGGTCAAGAATTCAGTTAGAAAATTTTGGTGATGTCTCAGGTACTGTCAAAGGTCTTGTTGTTGTGAAAGATCAAAATAACGTACTTCGAGTGAAAACCAAGTTGTTAGAAGGTGATGACGAATTTTCGTTCAAATATCCAATTATTGCCATCAAAACATCAAACATCAAATATTATGTTGCCATCAAAACATCACGTAGTAAATTGTCTAATACGAGATTGTCATTTAAAGAACTGCCATGCTGGTCTCCAGACTGTTGGTACCATCCTGCGAGAAAATTATTGGATTATTTCCCGCTAAATGGCTCATTCGCAGTGTAAAAAATCTTCTTCTAAGAACACTTGGTAGATCATCACTCAATTTTGAAGACCTTTCAACGATATTATGTGAAGTTGAAGCTGTAATGAATAATCGAGCTCTTACATATATTTCAGAAGAATTTCATAAATTTATTCCTTTGACTCCATCATCTTTTATTCAAGACATCCAAGAAATTGGGACCTGATCTAGAGAAAATTAATTTCCAGAAACTTCAAAAAAGATACCGGAAAGGCCAAAATATAAAAGATCAATTGAGAAATAGATTTCGAAAAGGATATTTGGCAAATCTCATTCAAAAAGCAAGAGAAAAGGCTCAAGTGATCCAGACGGGTGATGTAATACTAATTGAACTAGACAACCAAAAGAGACTTAACTGGCCAATAGGCAAAGTCACAAAATTGTTTCCAAGTAGAGATGGTTGTACACGTGTGGCAGAGATAAAAACCTCTTCAGGAACTTTTGTACGACCGATTCGTAAACTTTGCCATTTGGAGATATCTAAGAACGATGACCCAGTAATCCAGCTGATGAACTGTATGAACACTTTTCACAACACAATTTTAGAACTTTAACTTTTTTTTTTTTTTTTTTTCTTTTTGCTTGAAATTTTCATAGATATTGGTTTTATTTCATTCTATTAATTTTTGAGTAACGATGTAAATTTAATTTTAATGTTTAATTTTTGGCTTCCACCATAAATTAAAGGTGGGAGTATGTTAAATGTTCATCTAAAGTGTCTTTTCCTCGCTAGAGGGCGCTAGATGTTCCATTAGTGAGAGAAATTATTATTATTATTATTATTATTATTATTATTATTATTAATTTTTTTTGTAAACAGTAGATAGTTCGGTTTCGAATCCGTGTGATGGACGGATAAATTGTTTCGTACAGCCATAAGAGAAAAAGAGAGGCTGTACAAGAAAATATATTTAAATCTTAATTTTTTTCCTTTTAAATGTTTTATGTAAATAAAATGTGATGTCAAGAAGTTCAATTGTGGTTTTTCTGTAAAAAAGATTGCCAGCTGAAACATCACGTCAGATTCAACAATACATCAGAACAGGTAAATGAATTTTGTTCTTGTTTTTTAAATCAGTTAAGTATAAATAGAACCTGCATACGTCAGTGGATTCTGACAACTTCGATCAACAGTAGTTGATTAATTACGTAATAAAAATAGTTTGCTGACAAAAGTTAATCAGTTTATGTTTTATTTATTTAAATCTATGATTATTCTTTTGTAATGTATTTTCCATAATGATTTATCTCTAATATTTAGAACATTGTGAATTAATTAAATTTTATCAAACCAAGGACGGTATTAGGAAATGGGTAAGGAGTAATTTTAAAATGTAGGTACAACTTCCGGCAAAAAGTATATTTTCAATATATTAAAGGCAACATTCTTTTAAGATTCCCTCTTAAATATGGCATTTTAAATCTTCTCACATATTTTATATAATAAGTTATTACCTTATGCATCTACAGTTATTGTTAGCTACCAGTGTGGATTTCAAGCTGTAAAATCTACTATTCATCAAATTCGTTCTGTTAGACAAATTTTGGAAAAAACGAACATAATATTGATACCTTATATCTTTTTATAAATTTTAAAGCTGCTTATGATAGCATATACCGTGAAAAGCTGTTTGAAGCTATGCTGGAATTCAGATTTCCTAGAAAGTTGATTGATGTATCTAGAATGACTTTAAAGAGAGTAAATTGCAAAATTGAGTTAAAACATGAAAAAATAAAAATGCAAGAAGTTTGACTCTCGTACTACAAAAAATGACCGAGATATTTAATTTCAAAATTTTGCAATTTTTGATGTCATTTGCAATTTGCCTGGAGGAGTCGTTTAATTAAGTTAGAAGAATTGGAGGAAATAAGTGTAAATGAAGTGAAAAAGTGTGTATAATCTAATAGGCAGTAAAAGGAAGTGATGTGGTATCCACATGACATTTTTGGTTTTCAATGCAAAAGTGCCGAGTTTTTGTTGTGGAATACATATAACATAAAAGAATGGTTGACAGAGCCTACTCCAAAGAGAAGTTGGAATTCTATTTTTCACCCCAATTTTGAGGAAGAGCACCCCGGGGATCTCCCACCCCTCTCCCCTTCCACCAACCACACTAGAGGACTTTCGGCTCGCCGCATATTTAGAATGCCGTATGGACACTATACATTTACAAACATCCATGTTTTCTCCGGGATTCGAACCCGGGCCCTTTGGTACCGCAGTAAGCTCCTCTTAACTACTATACCGTCTAGGCGACAGGAGTGTCCTGTATCCATAGGAAATACGAGGAGTTCGAAGACTTATCACCGAACGCTCTACGAAAGATGATATTCGAATAAGATATATAATTATGGTCAAGTTTAGTTGATAAATTTTGTACTGTAGGCTATTAACAATATTGAATAAGATATAATGTACCTATGCTATGTTATGGACTGTACTGCTAAATAAAAAAATGTGAAATATATTGTAAGGTACAATATATCTGTTTCATACATATGAAAGTAAAAATTTTTGGCATTTTAGCGAAATCCTCCAAAGACGAATGAAGTAAAGAAATGCAGATTCTCCAATATATATAATTATAGTGTTACAAAAAAGGGTAGAAAACACAAATCATTGTTTATCCAATAAAACAGTTTCAAAGTGAACAGTGGAAATGAAGAAAGATGAGTCAAATCTGTTTGACCACTGATAACGGCGATCCCCTGACATTTTTAAGCTACTAAAGAGGATGTGAGCAACAAACCCGGGGCTTAACCTGCTGGCTTAAAATCATATAAAGGCTCCTCAGACACTTTGCATTCCCAAAATTTGGTTATATCAATTCAAAACAAACATGATGGCGGTCCTTTATTGTATTGTTCCTGTTACTGCTTGTCTCCATGACCAGAGAATATAATCACCGTTAGCAATCAACATGAATACTTATGGGCAGGACGAGAAAGTATAAATCTGTGGTTGGTCGAGGCCTGGAGCACCCAATGCGAATTCTTCTATTCCATTCCAGTTTTGATCAAGAATTTCACGACTGTCTAAATCAGAGGAACCTTGTGCCATTCTTCCCTCGCTATCAGCCTCTCAAAGGGATTTTGTTTGAAAAGTATTTAAATGGCCCCATACCGCAATGACGCTATATGTTTACTCTTAATTATGCCGTCTTCCGGATGCAGACTTCGGTCCAACTATATGCGAGCCACTTTCTCGAATCACTATATCAAAGTCGACGTAGCTCATGTGCATTACTAATGTGGAAAGAAACTTTAGCGAGTTTGTTCGGGCTGCTACATGTCATTATATTGTGATTAGTTGTCATCTACTTTTAGGAAATATAATGGTTTGATTTATTTAATTAAGGCAGGCTAGGGCTATTTGCCTAAAGGGAGAGAGAGATACACTCGTATAGGATTCTATAGCGGAAAACTGGCTCGCATTTGGGGGAAAATCACGAAAACGCCCATACAGTCTGGAATCGGATTTGAGTCGAATTAAGCTTAGGAAACATCATAACTATTTTTTGAGAAGGAGGATGTTGCTGTAAAACGGGAGTAATTGAAATCGCAGATA